CTCTCACGAAGTGACAGGACTTCCAGAAGGTAATGATGCTGGCCGGCAGGAGTCTTGTGCGCCCTGAGGAAGCAGTGTGGAAAAAAGGTTGACGAGCCCCTTTGCCTCCCTCCATGGATTTCGGAAGTGCCTCTGATGCTGTACTTGGCCCGCATGACCCTTCCTTGATTTCTTAGCTCTCCAGCAGCGGGAAGTTTGAGGCAGCTGGAGCTCGCATCTCGAAGCCAGCAGACGGTCAAAGGCATTGTTGGGATGGCAGATAGAGTCTTGTCACCCACAGCCCCTGCCTGCAGCCATGTGACAACCTAGGAGGTGCAGGAACACGTGAACTCAACACCAAAGACGTGCTTCCCCCCTTCGTGGTCCCTTCCAGCATGGGGTTGCTGGATCCATTCTTTGTGTGCAAGTTGTAGTCATAGCCGTGCATCTGGCAGATTCCGGTTCTGAAGCTGGTAGATTTAGCATGGCTTGTACATAGAAAACGCGAGTGCTGGCCCACCCGTGCCGACATGCCATGCCGCAGCCGGGACCGAAGCCGGAGCCCTCGCAGGGCGGCACGAGCCGCCGGCAGCTGCTGCCACGCCGTGCGCACCTGACACGCTTCATGGATGAATGTGCCCTTCGCATTCGAGGCCAGCAAGAATGCCCACATCTGTGGGCATTCTTGCTGGCCTCGAATGCGCAGCAGCCGCCACCTTCCAAGGGCACCTTCATCCATGAAGCGTGTCAAGTGCGCGCGGCGTGCAGTGCCGCACGTTCGTACTGTGCGAGGAGCGGCATGTCCCCAAGAAGGTGAAAAAAGCCAAGAACAGAGAGGAGCAGGTTTTGGCAGCCTGCACGGTTCAAATGAACCCCTAGATGGATGGACTGATGCCAACCTTGAACGCCTACGCTATGGCCCACGACATCTTCGCGTGCCTGGCTGATGACGTCCTCACCAAGCCTGGCCTACTCGAGATGCTCGCCTCCGCCAAGGCAGTAGGGTTCGGTTCTCAGGGGCAATGAAGCAAGCAAAAGTAATGAGCACTATGCAAAGGCTTGGGGCTTATTCTTTTTGAAGGACTTGCATTGGTGCTGGCCTGAGGCAACCTCACTCGGAGACCAGAAGAATCAGGAGCCTGGCCGGGATGCAGTGCGCCGAGGGGTGGAAAAGGCAATGCAAAGCCCGGAATCGGTCCAATGACAATCCGTCCGGCGGGTTCCTCGCATAGTGACCGCTGCAGCCGGTGCTTCTCTCCTGTCATCGTGCTGAATTTCAGGCGCTAGATTCTTGATAGGAATGACTCATTGACAGCCTTGACAAGACAAGACTGCATCCCCCTACATCTGCGTGCAAGTTGAATGATGTTAATCCGCGCGACGCATCCGTCTGTCCGCTCGGTCCGCTCGTCCGCTCCGTTCGCTCCGCCGATATAAACGCTCACGTCATCTTCGGCTTTTGCATGTGTGTGCACGGCGCATTCGTCCGTCTGTTCGGTCCGCTTCTCCGTTCCGTTCGCTTCGCCGCTCCGTCTACCCCTGACAAAACAACTTGACATGTGGGGTTATCCGGTCCTATAATCTGGTGACCAGCCTGGGCATGTGGCCTTGAGGAGACTCGTCGACTCCATGCCAGATGAGACAGGGAAAGAGGCGACAGGATCTTGCTGTGGTGCCTGTGAAATCTTGTGCCACTGCAATCCCCTTCCAGCATGGGGTTGCTGGATCCGTTCTTTGTGTGCAAGTTGTTCATGGCCAGGCATCGGTTCTGAAGCTGGTAGATTTAGCATGGCTTGTACATAGAAAACGCGAGTGCTGGCCCACCCGTGCCGCCATGCCATGCCGCAGCCGGGACCGAAGCCGGAGCCCTCGCAGGGCGGCACGAGCAGCCGGCGGCTGCTGCGCCTTCGAGGCGAGCAAGGATGCCCACAGGTGGGCGGCCTATGAGTGCCACCTTTCCAAGGGCACCTTCATACACGAAGCGTGTCAGGTGCGCACACGCGTGATCGCGGGCCATGCGCAGTGCCGCACCTTCGTACTGTGCGAGGAGGGGCACGTCCCCAAGAAGGTGCAAAAAGCCAAGAACAGAGAGGAGCAGGTTTTGGCAGCCTGCACAGTGCGCATGAACCCATATCTGCACTATCGCAAGATGTGGGGCCAGATCATGCACATTAGTGCGTGGGAGGAAAGGAAGGGATACGGAAGCAAACTGGTTGCTGCTGTGGAGGAGCTGTTGCGCCAGGAGGGTGTGGATATTCTCGTCGCCTACCCTGCGCCGACTCGAGCTGCTCAAAGCTTCTGGGCGAAAATGGGGTATCAGCAGCAGGAGCGTAGCTTCCTCCCAGATGAGGAGCTCCTCCCGCGTTACGAAGGTGGTCCGCTGTGGCCAGAGCAGAATGCAATCACTGAGGAGCCCCTGGATCGGCTCGAAAAAAAGTTGTTGGTGGGTGGAACCCTGCCGGCACCCCGAGAAGGGGCAATCCGCACAAGACCTGGCGGCGAAGATCGCAAGTTCAGGGAAGTGGTTTGGAATCCCCTCGACCTGCGAACAAGGAAGGCCCCAGAGGTTTTCATGACTGCTCTGCAGCTACAAGCATTGTTGCACCCAGTCTGTCGGCGGATGCGCGGAAAACGGTGTCCATTCTGATGGGGACAGCGAGTTGCCCAGCTGGAGCCGTTCGCAGCACGGAGCTGGGGCTGGCTAACTTTAAATAGCCACTGTGAGCCGCTACAACAGCAAACACGGCTCAATTCAACCTAACGAACTCGGCAGATGCCGGCTGGAAAAATCGGTTTTTTTCTTGGTGAAGATGGGAGCAGTGACAGCGGCTCTTTGCAGCCCATCTTGCGGTTTGTTGGCTATCGTTTGGCGTGCAGCTACTGGTGTTAGGAGTGGAAACTAGTGGAATCCAGTGTCAGGCACTTGTCCAAGCTCCGGAGGAGGACTTTGGGATTTGGAGGATGGGGGGAGATGGAAACTGTTTGCCAGCCCGCAGGAATTCGAGCATCACTGGAGGCTTGTTGTTCAAGGTCGGACACACACAAAACGCGCGCAGAAAAAAGATAGAACAAGACTGGCGCTGTGCTCTTCTCGCAGGCGCTACGTGCCGCGTTTTCCTGCGGCCTGGAGCCCATGCTCAAGTTCTGCGGGGCTGTGCTGAGATATGCCTGAGGAGATCTTGCTCCGAGGTTTTCAAAGCAGCAACGGAGTCGAAGTCATGGTCGCTTCGCTTGAGGACCCCTTATGGGCACAGGGTTCGGAGGCACGTGTGTGAATCAGTGAGTCCCTTGCGGACCCCAACGTAGACCCTCTCACGAAGTGACAGGACTTCCAGAAGGTAATGATGCTGGCCGGCAGGAGTCTTGTGCGCCCTGAGGAAGCAGTGTGAAAAAAAGGTTGACGAGCCCCTTTGCCTCCCTCCATGGAGTTCGGAAGTGCCTCTGATGCTGTACTTGGCCCGCATGACCCTTCCTTGATTTCTTGGCTCTCCAGCAGCGGGAAGTTTGAGGCAGCTGGAGCTCGCATCTCGAAGCCAGCAGACGGTCAAAGGCATTGTTGGGATGGCAGACAGAGTCTTGTCACCCACAGCCCCTGCAGCCATGTGACAACCTAGGAAGGTGCAGGAACACGTGAACTCAACACCAAAGACGTGCTTCCCCCCTTCGTGGTCCCTTCCAGCATGGGGTTGCTGGATCCATTCTTTGTGTGCAAGTTGTAGTCATAGCCGTGCATCTGGCAGATTCCGGTTCTGAAGCTGGTAGATTTAGCATGGCTTGTACATAGAAAACGCGAGTGCTGGCCCACCCGTGCCGCCATGCCATGCCGCAGCCGGGACCGAAGCCGGAGCCCTCGCAGGGCGGCACGAGCCGCCGGCAGCTGCTGCCACGCCGTGCGCACCTGACACGCTTCATGGATGAAGGTGCCCTTCGCATTCGAGGCCAGCAAGAATGCCCACATCTGTGGGCATTTTTGCTGGCCTCGAATGCGCAGCAGCCGCCACCTTCCAAGGGCACCTTCATCCATGAAGCGTGTCAAGTGCGCGCGGCGTGCAGTGCCGCACGTTCGTACTGTGCGAGGAGCGGCACGTCCCCAAGAAGGTGAAAAAAGCCAAGAACAGAGAGGAGCAGGTTTTGGCAGCCTGCACGGTTCAAATGAACCCCTAGATGGATGGACTGATGCCAACCTTGAACGCCTACGCTATGGCCCACGACATCTTCGCGTGCCTGGCTGATGACGTCCTCACAAAAGCCTGGCCTACTCGAGATGCTCGCCTCCGCCAAGGCAGTAGGGTTCGGTTCTCAGGGGCAATGAAGCAAGCAAAAGTAATGAGCACTATGCAAAGGCTTGGGGCTCATTCTTTTTGAAGGACTTGCATTGGTGCTGGCCTGAGGCAACACTCGGAGACCGTACGAATCAGGAGCCTGGCCGGGATGCAGTGCGCCGAGGGGTGGAAAAGGTAATGCAAAGCCCGGAATCGGTCCAATGACAATCCGTCCGGCGGGTTCCTCGCATAGTGACCGCTGCATGGCGCCGATTAAGTGCCTTAGTGACCGCTGCAGCATGGCGCCCGATTAGGTGCCTGATAGGCCGGCGCTTCTCTCCTGTCATCGTGCTGAATTTCAGGCGCTAGATTCTTGATAGGAATGACTCATTGACAGCCTTGACAAGACAAGACTGTATCCCCCTACATCTGCGTGGAAATTGAATGGTGTTAATCCGCACGACGCATCCGTCTGTCCGCTCGGTCCGCTCGTCCGCTCCGTTCGCTCCGCCGATATAAACGCTCACGTCATCTTCGGCTTTTGCATGTGTGTGCACGGCGCATTCGTCCGTCTGTTCGGTCCGCTTCTCCGTTCCGTTCGCTTCGCCGCTCCGTCTACCCCACAACTATACCGAGATACACTTTTGCGGGTCAACATATGCTATTATGACAAAACAACTTGACATGTGGGGTTATCCGGTCCTATAATCTGGTGACCTGGGAATGTGGCCTTGAGGAGACTCGTCGACTCCATGCCAGATGAGACAGGGAAAGAGGCGACAGGATCTTGCTGTGGTGCCTGTGAAATCTTGTGCCACTGCAATCCCCTTCCAGCATGGGGTTGCTGGATCCGTTCTTTGTGTGCAAGTTGTTCATGGCCAGGCATCGGTTCTGAAGCTGCTAGATTTAGCATGGCTTGTACATAGAAAACGCGAGTGCTGGCCCACCCGTGCCGCCATGCCATGCCGCAGCCGGGACCGAAGCCGGAGCCCTCGCAGGGCGGCACGAGCAGCCGGCGGCTGCTGCGCCTTCGAGGCGAGCAAGGATGCCCACAGGTGGGCGGCCTATGAGTGCCACCTTTCCAAGGGCACCTTCATACACGAAGCGTGTCAGGTGCGCACGCGCGTGATCGCGGGCCATGCGCAGTGCCGCACCTTCGTACTGTGCGAGGAGGGGCACGTCCCCAAGAAGGTGCAAAAAGCCAAGAACAGAGAGGAGCAGGTTTTGGCAGCCTGCACAGTGCGCATGAACCCATATCTGCACTATCGCAAGATGTGGGGCCAGATCATGCACATTAGTGCGTGGGAGGAAAGGAAGGGATACGGAAGCAAACTGGTTGCTGCTGTGGAGGAGCTGTTGCGCCAGGAGGGTGTGGATATTCTCGTCGCCTACCCTGCGCCGACTCGAGCTGCTCAAAGCTTCTGGGCGAAAATGGGGTATCAGCAGCAGGAGCGTAGCTTCCTCCCAGATGAGGAGCTCCTCCCGCGTTACGAAGGTGGTCCGCTGTGGCCAGAGCAGAATGCAATCACTGAGGAGCCCCTGGATCGGCTCGAAAAAAAGTTGTTGGTGGGTGGAACCCTGCCGGCACCCCGAGAAGGGGCAATCCGCACAAGACCTGGCGGCGAAGATCGCAAGTTCAGGGAAGTGGTCTGGAATCCCCTCGACCTGCGAACAAGGAAGGCCCCAGAGGTTTTCATGACTGCTCTGCAGCTACAAGCATTGTTGCACCCAGTCTGTCGGCGGATGCGCGGAAAACGGTGTCCATTCTGATGGGGACAGCGAGTTGCCCAGCTGGAGCCGTTCGCAGCACGGAGCTGGGGCTGGCTAACTTTAAATAGCCACTGTGAGCCGCTACAACAGCAAACACGGCTCAATTCAACCTAACGAACTCGGCAGATGCCGGCTGGAAAAATCGGCTTTTTTTCTTGGTGAAGATGGGAGCAGTGACAGCGGCTCTTTGCAGCCCATCTTGCGGTTTGTTGGCTATCGTTTGGCGTGCAGCTACTGGTGTTAGGAAACTAGTGGAATCCAGTGTCAGGCACTTGTCCAAGCTCCGGAGGAGGACTTTGGGATTTGGAGGATGGGGGGAGATGGAAACTGTTTGCCAGCCCGCAGGAATTCGAGCATCACTGGAGGCTTGTTGTTCAAGGTCGGACACACACAAAACGCGCACAGAAAAAAGATAGAACAAGACTGGCGCTGTGCTCTTCTCGCAGGCGCTACGTGCCGCGTTTTCCTGCGGCCTGGAGCCCATGCTCAAGTTCTGTGGGGCTGTGCTGAGATATGCCTGAGGAGATCTTGCTCCGAGGTTTCCAAAGTCCGCAGCAACGGAGTCGAAGTCATGGTCGCTTCGCTTGAGGACCCCTTAGGGGCACAGGGTTCGGAGGCACGTGTGTGAATCAGTGAGTTCCTTGCCGACCCCAACGTAGACCCTCTCACGAAGTGACAGGACTTCCAGAAGGTAATGATGCTGGCCGGCAGGAGTCTTGTGCGCCCTGAGGAAGCAGTGTGGAAAAAAGGTTGACGAGCCCCTTTGCCTCCCTCCATGGATTTCGGAAGTGCCTCTGATGCTGTACTTGGCCCGCATGACCCTTCCTTGATTTCTTAGCTCTCCAGCAGCGGGAAGTTTGAGGCAGCTGGAGCTCGCATCTCGAAGCCAGCAGACGGTCAAAGGCATTGTTGGGATGGCAGATAGAGTCTTGTCACCCACAGCCCCTGCCTGCAGCCATGTGACAACCTAGGAGGTGCAGGAACACGTGAACTCAACACCAAAGACGTGCTTCCCCCCTTCGTGGTCCCTTCCAGCATGGGGTTGCTGGATCCATTCTTTGTGTGCAAGTTGTAGTCATAGCCGTGCATCTGGCAGATTCCGGTTCTGAAGCTGGTAGATTTAGCATGGCTTGTACATAGAAAACGCGAGTGCTGGCCCACCCGTGCCGACATGCCATGCCGCAGCCGGGACCGAAGCCGGAGCCCTCGCAGGGCGGCACGAGCCGCCGGCAGCTGCTGCCACGCCGTGCGCACCTGACACGCTTCATGGATGAATGTGCCCTTCGCGTTCGAGGCCAGCAAGAATGCCCACATCTGTGGGCATTCTTGCTGGCCTCGAATGCGCAGCAGCCGCCACCTTCCAAGGGCACCTTCATGCATGAAGCGTGTGAAGTGCGCACGGCATGCCGCACGTTCGTACTGTGCGAGGAGCGGCACGTCCCCAAGAAGGTGAAAAAAGCCAAGAACAGAGAGGAGCAGGTTTTGGCAGCCTGCACGGTTCAAATGAACCGCTAGATGGATGGACTGATGCCAACCTTGAACGCCTACGCTATGGCCCACGACATCTTCGCGTGCCTGGCTGATAACGTCCTCACAAAAGCCTGGCCTACTCGAGATGCTCGCCTCAGCCCAGGCAGTAGGGTTCGGTTCTCAGGGGCAATGAAGCAAGCAAAAGTAATGAGCACTATGCAAAGGCTTGGGGCTCATTCTTTTTGAAGGACTTGCATTGGTGCTGGCCTGAGGCAACACTCCGAGACCGTACGAATCAGGAGCCTGGCCGGGATGCAGTGCGCCGAGGGGTGGAAAAGGTAATGCAAAGCCCGGAATCGGTCCAATGACAATCCGTCCGGCGGGTTCCTCGCATAGTGACCGCTGCAGCCGGTGCTTCTCTCCTGTCATCGTGCTGAATTTCAGGCGCTAGATTCTTGATAGGAATGACTCATTGACAGCCTTGACAAGACAAGACTGCATCCCCCTACATTTGCGTGCAAGTTGAATGATGTTAATCCGCGCGACGCATCCGTCTGTCCGCTCGGTCCGCTCGTCCGCTCCGTTCGCTCCGCCGATATAAACGCTCACGTCATCTTCGGCTTTTGCATGTGTGTGCACGGCGCATTCGTCCGTCTGTTCGGTCCGCTTCTCCGTTCCGTTCGCTTCGCCGCTCCGTCTACCCCACAACTATACCGAGATACACTTTTGCGGGTCAACATATGCTATTATGACAAAACAACTTGACATGTGGGGTTATCCGGTCCTATAATCTGGTGACCAGCCTGGGCATGTGGCCTTGAGGAGACTCGTCGACTCCATGCCAGATGAGACAGGGAAAGAGGCGACAGGATCTTGCTGTGGTGCCTGTGAAATCTTGTGCCACTGCAATCCCCTTCCAGCATGGGGTTGCTGGATCCGTTCTTTGTGTGCAAGTTGTTCATGGCCAGGCATCGGTTCTGAAGCTGGTAGATTTAGCATGGCTTGTACATAGAAAACGCGAGTGCTGGCCCACCCGTGCCGCCATGCCATGCCGCAGCCGGGACCGAAGCCGGAGCCCTCGCAGGGCGGCACGAGCAGCCGGCGGCTGCTGCGCCTTCGAGGCGAGCAAGGATGCCCACAGGTGGGCGGCCTATGAGTGCCACCTTTCCAAGGGCACCTTCATGCACGAAGCGTGTCAGGTGCGCACGCGCGTGATCGCGGGCCATGCGCAGTGCCGCACCTTCGTACTGTGCGAGGAGGGGCACGTCCCCAAGAAGGTGCAAAAAGCCAAGAACAGAGAAGAGCAGGTTTTGGCAGCCTGCACAGTGCGCATGAACCCATATCTGCACTATCGCAAGATGTGGGGCCAGATCATGCACATTAGTGCGTGGGAGGAAGGAAGGGATACGGAAGCAAACTGGTTGCTGCTGTGGAGGAGCTGTTGCGCCAGGAGGGTGTGGATATTCTCGTCGCCTACCCTGCGCCGACTCGAGCTGCTCAAAGCTTCTGGGCGAAAATGGGGTATCAGCAGCAGGAGCGTAGCTTCCTCCCAGATGAGGAGCTCCTCCCGCGTTACGAAGGTGGTCCGCTGTGGCCAGAGCAGAATGCAATCACTGAGGAGCCCCTGGATCGGCTCGAAAAAAAGTTGTTGGTGGGTGGAACCCTGCCGGCACCCCGAGAAGGGGCAATCCGCACAAGACCTGGCGGCGAAGATCGCAAGTTCAGGGAAGTGGTTTGGAATCCCCTCGACCTGCGAACAAGGAAGGCCCCAGAGGTTTTCATGACTGCTCTGCAGCTACAAGCATTGTTGCACCCAGTCTGTCGGCGGATGCGCGGAAAACGGTGTCCATTCTGATGGGGACAGCGAGTTGCCCAGCTGGAGCCGTTCGCAGCACGGAGCTGGGGCTGGCTAACTTTAAATAGCCACTGTGAGCCGCTACAACAGCAAACACGGCTCAATTCAACCTAACGAACTCGGCAGATGCCGGCTGGAAAAATCGGCTTTTTTTCTTGGTGAAGATGGGAGCAGTGACAGCGGCTCTTTGCAGCCCATCTTGCGGTTTGTTGGCTATCGTTTGGCGTGCAGCTACTGGTGTTAGGAGTGGAAACTAGTGGAATCCAGTGTCAGGCACTTGTCCAAGCTCCGGAGGAGGACTTTGGGATTTGGAGGATGGGGGGAGATGGAAACTGTTTGCCAGCCCGCAGGAATTCGAGCATCACTGGAGGCTTGTTGTTCAAGGTCGGACACACACAAAACGCGCACAGAAAAAAGATAGAACAAGACTGGCGCTGTGCTCTTCTCGCAGGCGCTACGTGCCGCGTTTTCCTGCGGCCTGGAGCCCATGCTCAAGTTCTGCGGGGCTGTGCTGAGATATGCCTGAGGAGATCTTGCTCCGAGGTTTTCAAAGCAGCAACGGAGTCGAAGTCATGGTCGCTTCGCTTGAGGACCCCTTATGGGCACAGGGTTCGGAGGCACGTGTGTGAATCAGTGAGTCCCTTGCGGACCCCAACGTAGACCCTCTCACGAAGTGACAGGACTTCCAGAAGGTAATGATGCTGGCCGGCAGGAGTCTTGTGCGCCCTGAGGAAGCAGTGTGAAAAAAAGGTTGACGAGCCCCTTTGCCTCCCTCCATGGAGTTCGGAAGTGCCTCTGATGCTGTACTTGGCCCGCATGACCCTTCCTTGATTTCTTGGCTCTCCAGCAGCGGGAAGTTTGAGGCAGCTGGAGCTCGCATCTCGAAGCCAGCAGACGGTCAAAGGCATTGTTGGGATGGCAGACAGAGTCTTGTCACCCACAGCCCCTGCAGCCATGTGACAACCTAGGAAGGTGCAGGAACACGTGAACTCAACACCAAAGACGTGCTTCCCCCCTTCGTGGTCCCTTCCAGCATGGGGTTGCTGGATCCATTCTTTGTGTGCAAGTTGTAGTCATAGCCGTGCATCTGGCAGATTCCGGTTCTGAAGCTGGTAGATTTAGCATGGCTTGTACATAGAAAACGCGAGTGCTGGCCCACCCGTGCCGCCATGCCATGCCGCAGCCGGGACCGAAGCCGGAGCCCTCGCAGGGCGGCACGAGCCGCCGGCAGCTGCTGCCACGCCGTGCGCACCTGACACGCTTCATGGATGAAGGTGCCCTTCGCATTCGAGGCCAGCAAGAATGCCCACATCTGTGGGCATTTTTGCTGGCCTCGAATGCGCAGCAGCCGCCACCTTCCAAGGGCACCTTCATCCATGAAGCGTGTCAAGTGCGCGCGGCGTGCAGTGCCGCACGTTCGTACTGTGCGAGGAGCGGCACGTCCCCAAGAAGGTGAAAAAAGCCAAGAACAGAGAGGAGCAGGTTTTGGCAGCCTGCACAGTTCAAATGAACCCCTAGATGGATGGACTGATGCCAACCTTGAACGCCTACGCTATGGCCCACGACATCTTCGCGTGCCTGGCTGATGACGTCCTCACAAAAGCCTGGCCTACTCGAGATGCTCGCCTCCGCCAAGGCAGTAGGGTTCGGTTCTCAGGGGCAATGAAGCAAGCAAAAGTAATGAGCACTATGCAAAGGCTTGGGGCTCATTCTTTTTGAAGGACTTGCATTGGTGCTGGCCTGAGGCAACACTCGGAGACCGTACGAATCAGGAGCCTGGCCGGGATGCAGTGCGCCGAGGGGTGGAAAAGGTAATGCAAAGCCCGGAATCGGTCCAATGACAATCCGTCCGGCGGGTTCCTCGCATAGTGACCGCTGCATGGCGCCGATTAAGTGCCTTAGTGACCGCTGCAGCATGGCGCCCGATTAGGTGCCTGATAGGCCGGCGCTTCTCTCCTGTCATCGTGCTGAATTTCAGGCGCTAGATTCTTGATAGGAATGACTCATTGACAGCCTTGACAAGACAAGACTGTATCCCCCTACATCTGCGTGGAAATTGAATGGTGTTAATCCGCACGACGCATCCGTCTGTCCGCTCGGTCCGCTCGTCCGCTCCGTTCGCTCCGCCGATATAAACGCTCACGTCATCTTCGGCTTTTGCATGTGTGTGCACGGCGCATTCGTCCGTCTGTTCGGTCCGCTTCTCCGTTCCGTTCGCTTCGCCGCTCCGTCTACCCCACAACTATACCGAGATACACTTTTGCGGGTCAACATATGCTATTATGACAAAACAACTTGACATGTGGGGTTATCCGGTCCTATAATCTGGTGACCTGGGAATGTGGCCTTGAGGAGACTCGTCGACTCCATGCCAGATGAGACAGGGAAAGAGGCGACAGGATCTTGCTGTGGTGCCTGTGAAATCTTGTGCCACTGCAATCCCCTTCCAGCATGGGGTTGCTGGATCCGTTCTTTGTGTGCAAGTTGTTCATGGCCAGGCATCGGTTCTGAAGCCGCTAGATTTAGCATGGCTTGTACATAGAAAACGCGAGTGCTGGCCCACCCGTGCCGCCATGCCATGCCGCAGCCGGGACCGAAGCCGGAGCCCTCGCAGGGCGGCACGAGCAGCCGGCGGCTGCTGCGCCTTCGAGGCGAGCAAGGATGCCCACAGGTGGGCGGCCTATGAGTGCCACCTTTCCAAGGGCACCTTCATACACGAAGCATGTCAGGTGCGCACGCGCGTGATCGCGGGCCATGCGCAGTGCCGCACCTTCGTACTGTGCGAGGAGGGGCACGTCCCCAAGAAGGTGCAAAAAGCCAAGAACAGAGAGGAGCAGGTTTTGGCAGCCTGCACAGTGCGCATGAACCCATATCTGCACTATCGCAAGATGTGGGGCCAGATCATGCACATTAGTGCGTGGGAGGAAAGGAAGGGATACGGAAGCAAACTGGTTGCTGCTGTGGAGGAGCTGTTGCGCCAGGAGGGTGTGGATATTCTCGTCGCCTACCCTGCGCCGACTCGAGCTGCTCAAAGCTTCTGGGCGAAAATGGGGTATCAGCAGCAGGAGCGTAGCTTCCTCCCAGATGAGGAGCTCCTCCCGCGTTACGAAGGTGGTCCGCTGTGGCCAGAGCAGAATGCAATCACTGAGGAGCCCCTGGATCGGCTCGAAAAAAAGTTGTTGGTGGGTGGAACCCTGCCGGCACCCCGAGAAGGGGCAATCCGCACAAGACCTGGCGGCGAAGATCGCAAGTTCAGGGAAGTGGTCTGGAATCCCCTCGACCTGCGAACAAGGAAGGCCCCAGAGGTTTTCATGACTGCTCTGCAGCTACAAGCATTGTTGCACCCAGTCTGTCGGCGGATGCGCGGAAAACGGTGTCCATTCTGATGGGGACAGCGAGTTGCCCAGCTGGAGCCGTTCGCAGCACGGAGCTGGGGCTGGCTAACTTTAAATAGCCACTGTGAGCCGCTACAACAGCAAACACGGCTCAATTCAACCTAACGAACTCGGCAGATGCCGGCTGGAAAAATCGGTTTTTTTCTTGGTGAAGATGGGAGCAGTGACAGCGGCTCTTTGCAGCCCATCTTGCGGTTTGTTGGCTATCGTTTGGCGTGCAGCTACTGGTGTTAGGAAACTAGTGGAATCCAGTGTCAGGCACTTGTGCAAGCTCCGGAGGAGGACTTTGGGATTTGGAGGATGGGGGGAGATGGAAACTGTTTGCCAGCCCGCAGGAATTCGAGCATCACTGGAGGCTTGTTGTTCAAGGTCGGACACACACAAAACGCGCACAGAAAAAAGATAGAACAAGACTGGCGCTGTGCTCTTCTCGCAGGCGCTACGTGCCGCGTTTTCCTGCGGCCTGGAGCCCATGCTCAAGTTCTGTGGGGCTGTGCTGAGATATGCCTGAGGAGATCTTGCTCCGAGGTTTCCAAAGTCCGCAGCAACGGAGTCGAAGTCATGGTCGCTTCGCTTGAGGACCCCTTAGGGGCACAGGGTTCGGAGGCACGTGTGTGAATCAGTGAGTTCCTTGCGGACCCCAACGTAGACCCTCTCACGAAGTGACAGGACTTCCAGAAGGTAATGATGCTGGCCGGCAGGAGTCTTGTGCGCCCTGAGGAAGCAGTGTGAAAAAAAGGTTGACGAGCCCCTTTGCCTCCCTCCATGGAGTTCGGAAGTGCCTCTGATGCTGTACTTGGCCCGCATGACCCTTCCTTGATTTCTTGGCTCTCCAGCAGCGGGTATTTTGAGGCAGCTGGAGCTCGCATCTCGAAGCCAGCAGACGGTCAAAGGCATTGTGGCAGATAGAGTCTTGTCACCCACAGCCCCTGCAGCCATGTGACAACCTAGGAAGGTGCAGGCGTGAACTCAACACCAAAGACGTGCTTCCAGATAAAGCGCCCGCCGGCTTCCTTGCCCTCCGTCATGCAGGCGCCAGCTCCATGAAGTTTCGTCTGATTGTCCAGCTTCAGCCCTGCCGAGATGATGCATGAAGCCATGCCTCCCGATCATCCGCCAAGTCATCCGCCCCCACAGGCCGAGGGTTTTCACTCTTGTGCGGCTACAAAGACACTTCCAGTTTGTGGCGGCAGCGTGCAGCAGATGAAGCTGCAACAGCTACATCTCCTCAAGACCAGTCTCCAAACCCCCCTCAAAACCCCTTTAACCCCCCAACACCCCCTGAAAACCTCTTAAACCCCCTTGTTAAAACCCCTTATTCGAATCCCTTAACACCCTTCTTAACACCCTCTTAAGACCCCTTAAAACCCCCTCAAGACCCCTGCAGGCCTCGCAGAGGCCGGCAAAGCGGCGGCGTCTGAAGGGCCTCGACGCCAACAGCCCGGACCTCTTCGCTCCGGGGGGCTCCCAAGGTTTGTAGGGTTTATAGGCTTTAGGGTTTTGGGGTTTAGGGTTTAGGGTTTAGGGTTTAGGGGGTTTATAGGGTTCCAGACCCTGAGCCTTAAATCCTCAGGGCTTCATGGATGTCATGGGGCGGCTCTTCATATGGTTTCACAAGGGGATGGTGAGACGCTGCAGGCCTGGAGAAGCTGTTGCGCGGGCTGCATCAATGCCTTAGGCCGGGGCGCTTTGTCTTACTGGGATTAGGGTTTAGGGTTTAGGGTTTGGGGTTTGGGGTTTGGGGTTTAGGCTTTTTTTTTGGTGACCGCCCTGGGCGTGTGGCGTTGAGGAGAATTGTCGACTCCATGCCAGATGGGAGCGGCAAAGAGGCAGCCGGATCTTGCTGTGCACTGCCCGCACGAGTGTTTTCGTAGGTTTTTCGTGTCCCTTCCAGCATGGGGGTTGCTGGATCAGTGGGTTTGTTCATGGCATCTGGCAGATTCCCAATGTCAGGCACCTGTCCATGCTCTGGAGGAGGACTTCGGGATTTGGAGGATGGGAGGAGATGGCAAGTTTCTCGCAGCCTGCAGGAGTTCGAGCGGCACTGGAGGCTGCGTTTCGACGCGCGGGCCATGGGTGAGTCAGGTCGGGCCCTAAACCCTAAACCCTAAACCCTAAACCCTAAACCCTAAACCCTAAACCCTAAACCCTAAACCCTAAACCCTAAACCCTAAACCCTAAACCCTAAACCCTAAACCCTGTAGAATACGAACCGGCGCTGGGCTCTGTTCGCAGGCACTGCCTCCTTCCTGCGGCGCTTTCCTGCGGCCTGGAGCCCATGCTCAAGTGCCGCAGGGCTGTGCTCAGATATGCCTGAGATCCGGGGGTTTAGGGTTTAGGGTTTAGGGCTTAGGGCTTAGGGTTTATGGAGTGACCCGGTTCTTTCCGAGGTTTTCAAAGTCCGCAGCAACGGAATCGAAGTCATGGTCACTCCGCTTGAGGACCGTCCCCTTGCGGGCACAGGGTTAGGGTTTAGGGTTTAGGGTTTAGGGTTTAGGGGTTAGGGGTTAGGGTTTAGGGTTTAGGGTTAGGGGTGCATCGGTGGATTCCTTGAGGACCCCAACTTTGATGATGCGGCAGCTGCTGGTTTAGAGCGCACAGCGCCCGAAGACAAGGGCTTCCAGGCACCACTTCCATATTGTTATACTATATTCTACTATACTATATGAGACTATACCAGATTATATTACATTATACTATATTATATTGTATGATGTTATATTACCTGAAGAGCACTTGAACCAGGTGGATGGCTTTGCCGCCTGTTTCGGAGAACAGGCGAGTGGGGAGATATGAGAGCCACTCAGCAAGCTTGTGCTGACATTTTGGCATCTTCTGAGAGTGATTCAGGCAGCTTCCTCACACGGGGGCAGCTTCTGCATCATGCGCAAAATGCACCTTGTGGCATGCTAAACCCTAAACCCTAAACCCTAAACCCTAAACCCTAAACGCTAAACCCTACACCCTAAACCCTAAACCCCAAAACCCTAAACCCTGAACCCTAAACCCTAAACTGCTAAACCTCAATGCGCTGGTCAGGTCATTGCTGCAATCGCCAACCTGGTGGCGGAGGCGGCCTTGTCCAGTGTTTAGGGTCCAGTTTTGCAGGGTTTAGGGTCCAGTTTTGCAGGGTTTAGGGTTTAGGGTTTAGGGTCGTCATGAATGGTTTCAGGGGCTCAAGGTCGAAGGGTTTTTTGGGCAGCGTGTGGGGCCCTTTGCGCCGGCTGGCGCAAGATGCAGACTTTGTGGTTTAGGGTTTAGGGTTTAGGGTTTAGGGTTTAGGGTTTCTGACAGCTGATGGTGGGTGCGCGCAGGGGTGATCCTGTGCGTTCCATTGCCCTAAACCCCTAAACCCTAAGCCCTAAGCCCTAAGCCCTAAACCCTAAACCCTAAACCCTCAACCCTGAACCCTGAACCCTAAACCCTAAACCCTAAGACAGCATTCAACCCGAAAGCCCTGTATCATAGTAGTGAGGTGTTGAAGTCCAACTGCCAGTGGCTCGCACGTTAACCCCCAAACCCCGAACCCCGAACCCTAAACCTAAATCCTAAACCCTAAACCCTAATTAAACCCCAAGCCCTGTGATCCCCTGAGCCTCGAAACCCTAAAGACGAATAAGGGTTCAGGGCCTGAAGGCTAAGCCCTAGGGGCTTGCTGGAAGGTTCATGGGTCTAAACAAGGAAACCTAGGGTTTAGGGTTTCGGGTTTAGGGTTTCGGGTTTAGGGTTTAGGGTTTAGGGTTTAGGGCTTAGAGTGTATAAGGCCCAAAGCCAGGATCGGAAGCCTGGCAGCGTGCCGCTGAACTGCCAATATGCGAGCTTCGAGGCGGCTCTGTGTGTCGACTCCTTCAGAAACCTCAACTTCCACTAGCCCTAAACCCTAAACCCTAAACCCTAAACCCTAAACCCTAAACCCTAAACCCTAAACCCCAAACCCTAAACCCTAAACCCTAAACCCTAAACCCTAAACCCTAAACCCCAAACCCCAAACCCTAACCCTAAACCCTAAACCCTAAACCCTAAACCCTAAACCCTAAACCCTAAACCCTAAACCCTAAACCCTAAACCCTAAACCCTAAACCCTACACCCTGAACCCTAAACCCTAAGCCGCAAAGGTGGCGCAGGAGCTGCTCACGAAGCTGAAGGAAGGCGGTGGCCGCGATCAGGACGGCCAGGGTTGGGGGCGGAGGAACCCCAAACCGACTTGAGGTTGAGGGTTTGGGGTTTGAGGGTTTAGGGTTTAGGGTTTGGGTTTAGGGTTTAGGGTTTAGGGTTTAGGGTGCTTTGGGGTTTAGGGGTTGAGGGTTTAGGGGCTTAGGCTCTGGGGCTTGGGGGTTTAGGGGAACCGAATTAGGTGTGTGGTTTTGGGGGTCTAGGCTTTGGGGTTCAGGGTCTGGGACTCCCTTCCAGCGCCATCTGCGACATGGGCATTTCCCAAAATAGGGGTACCCCTTTCATACCCCAACTAGAAAAGAATCTCCTCAGGGGGATTCCCCAAAAAGGGTTTAGGGTCCCAAAACCTAAACCCTAAACCCTAAACCCTAAACCCTAAACCCTAAACCCTATTTCCGGAACACCCCCCTGTAGCTGCGATGGCCAGGAGCAAAACGATCTCCTGGCCTCGCTAACGGAGCCAAAGCCGCAGGTGCCAAAGCAGGCGTGAGGGGTGGGGCAGGGTTTTAGGGATTAGGGTTTAAATTTAGGGGTTTAGGGTTTCGGGTTTAGGGTGTTGGCCGGGGGTTTGGGGGTTTCGAGAGGTTTAGGGTTT